AACTCCACAAGAACATGCGAGGAAAGATAGTACCTATTTCTCACCTAAATGGGACCAACAACAAGTGAATTACCATTTTTCCTGAAATAAATTTCGGCTATGGCGGGTGATCATCCCTCAGAGAAAGAAAGTACAAGTTGAATTTAACGTACAAGTTAAAAGAAAGTAATTTTTTTTTGTTATGAGGTAAGTAAGTACCACAGTTTTTTTATAACAGTCTCCTAGCAAAGTGGAATTTATTAATGCGCTGTTGTCTGCCCACTAAACAAGTAATACAACTCCACATCACAGCGAGGAAACCCCATCGCCAGATATTTATTCTGCGTAACGGACACTTACTAATAGCGTATTTAATTTAAAATTTAATTCTGAACCGGTAAAGTAACATGTGTCATAAAAATGATAAGATACTGTCAGCTAAAAAAAACATTGACTTTTTACAGTTTTCAAAAAAAGGGGTTGTCCCGTTGCGTCACTTTTTTGAAAAAATTCTGAAAATTTTGGAAGCCAGGTCAAGAAGGCTGCCGGTCAGAGAGGACGACTGCAAAGAGACAAACGAACTTCCAAGTGCTGTTTCGATGCTCTCATCATTTTCATGGCGACCAGCTTGTATCCGCGCTGCTCGAATCGTTCGATGATTTTGGCGACCAGTCCACGATGCACCGCATCCGGCTTGATGCAGATGAACGTACGCTCTTTCGTGTTCGTCATGTTGTCGGCGAAAGTGCTGCTACTGCTGCTGCTGCTGCTTCGGCTTCTGCTATCGGTACTGCTGTCTTCGAGTGGTGACCAGGCGTTGTGTTCTGCTTCGCCCTCGTCTACTGAAATAAATTCCAGAGTAATCCACAAGCGGCAGCAAACAACCACTACACAATATGACAGGATCGCGTGCATAGGCCGGAACATTCCTGTTCATTCAGTTTTTTATTGAAATAATTTTACATTTTTTATATATATATCATACTTAATATCTCTATGGGGATTTTAGTTTCTAGTATTATTAAGCTGCTGCCACTTCAAATTACCCTAAGCTCAGCGGAGAAGTTGTAGAAAAGCTTTTGCAATGAGAAACGTGTTTTTCCAGACAGATATGCGCAGATTACGGTTCACAACGACGATATACTTCATAAAGCAACCCAAGTAACAAAGCGGGGGTGAGCAAGCCTAAGCCTGAGCATCCTCCCTTCCCCCAACTTCTGAACAAGGATGGCTTTAGCTCCCTTCTCTACAACTCTGTGTTGCTTGAATATGGCATGCAGTCCTTACTTGCTTCTTAACACGGACTAGCACTTATGTTACTCTTTTGGCTAGCTAGAAATCCGCATTCTGGCTGAAGTCTGCCCCCTCTCCGTCCCCTTCCTCACTCCCCACTCGACGTACTTTAGTTTCTCAACCAAATTTTGCATTTTTGCCATGCAGCGCTACAGCGCTGAAACAGACAGCAAAAATGCATATTGCAACGACCCTGTCAGTGTGTATTTTTGTGTGTGTGTGTGTGTGTATGTATGTATGTATGTTTGCGTGTGTGTATGTTCGTGTGTGTTTGTGTGTGTGCGTATGCTTGTGTGTATGTTTGTGGTATGTGTGTATGTTTGTGTGTGTGTATGTATGTTCGTGTGTATGTTTGTATGTGTGTATGTTTGTGGGTGTGTATGTTTGTGTGTGTGTATGTTTGTATGTGTGTATGTTTGTGTGTGTGTGTGTGTGTGTATGTTCGCCTGTCCGGGTATTTCAACTCGCCAACCATGCAAGCTTTAAAGCTGAAATTTTGCCAGTGTGTTCCCCAATCAAGTGCCACCCCAGGACCGCGGTATCAACCCTTACACACGTTTGGGCCCCACATACGACCGCGTGAAAGTATTGACAGGAAAATCGCTAACTCGGGAACGAGAAAAGCTAGAAAGCCGAAACTTTACAGAAATGTTTAATACTAATGCGCGACCAAAAGACTTCAAACTCGACTGCCCAACACTACCCGGGACACACGTACAGGCACGTGAAAATCTTGGCGAAAAAACTACTAGCTCGAAAAAATCTAAAAAGCTTAAACTTTAGGGGGATGTTCCCTATCCAAGTACGACTAAAAGATTTCAAATTCAGCTGCCTAGGACTTCCCAGCACTCACATACGGG